TAGCCCCTGATATTTGAGGAGCTCAGCTCTCCAGACCAAAGATTGCTCTCAGTTGTACCAGCAAAACTGAGGACAGAATTTGGGCCTATTTTCCCTGTTAATATGACTGCATTGGGTACTGTCAGCATTAACTCTGGGGACATTCAGCACCCTGCACAATGAGGTTCAATATTGGTAATTTCTTCCTTTATTGGTTCTACTAATCTTGGATCTTGTTCCCATTCAAATCACAGGCAAAACTCTGACTAATTTCAGTGTTGAATGATCAAGCCCAAACACAGAGTCTATGGGATCATTACAAGCACAGAATTTTGTATGTGTTACACAGATCTCAATTACTGCCAGTACAAGAATCCATGGATTTTCTGTGCTGCTTCTCCATCTATTTGGCAATGGCATCAAGAAAATTAATCTTTCCTATAACTTCTCTATGTCACATTTATTCTGCTCACTGTGTATGATGTTCCCCTCTTGGGAAAGTGGAATTGTATGGAAGATCATTTGTTTTCTTTAGAAAAAATATAAATTGGCAGATTGGTGAGTTATAGAATATGAATTCAGACTACCTGTGAAAGTTTAATTCACTCCCCTTGTGTCCTGTATGTATTAATTACAATAATATCTTTAATTACATCATAGCATTTTTTTTTTCAGAGATTCCCCTACTCAGAATGGAGGGTGCTCGGTCAATGATCAGCTATTTAATATTTTGTTTTCTCATAATTTGCTCAAAATGTAGCACAGTGTTCGCTCCCTCTCCTACCAGCCTGCTTGCCAGGAAGTCTAGTTCTTGTGAATTCTGAATGCAAATCAGCACTGGCTAAGGAGCTCACTTCTGGTGTCAGACTCCAGCCTACTCCAGTCTGCAGCAGACTGGACCTGCAATTACATGCTGAGCTTGTACAAAGTGGTTTTTCAAGAGCCAGTAATTTGGACAGATTTTCATAAGTAAAGCAAAAGTCAAGTCCTTGACACAGAAATTATCCTGCTGCCAAATTTCAAGCTTCAGCTCCAAAGCCCAGGATATAAGCACATTCTTTTCAAAGAAAAGACCAACGTTTTTCAGTATGGGCAAAACAATGTATTTCTCCCAAGACTTGCTCTTGGAAGTGGCTGAACCATTTTGGCTGAAAGTTTTGGAAAACAAACTGTAGGAGACATTAGCACGGAGAATTCCATGCCAAATTGGCACAGTTCATACATTTACAGCATTCTGCAATCTTCAATGGGTCATAGACAAATTTTGTGAGCAGAGATCAGCAGAAGAAATGGATTTTATTTTTTTCCTCCTGTTTTTATTCAAACTTCCTCCTTTCTTTCTGCTTCTGAAATTGATAGCGCTTGATCACAAACATTAGCTCCTTGGTCAAAAAGAGGAAACAACTTCAAAAATCAACAAGATAAAGGCATCTAGAAAACTAAGTACAAAATTTAATCTTTTAAATAATCTATTATCAGTTTCTGTTGGTAGGAACAGTTAATGGGCAGCATGTACGTAAATCAAATAAAATTAGAATAAAAACCCCTCACCTACTGTTCTGAGCCAAATAATTTCTGCATTTCTGCATCTCTGCATGTGTTTTGAGATTTAATATTTCCTTATGAACATTGAAAGTATGGGAATAGCAGGAGAAAATGCTTTTCTAAATGTTTGAATTCATGTAATTATATTAAAAGAAGTAGAGCACAATCTTGAGAATTATAACAGTGCAAATGGCTTGTTACTGCATTGGTATTTTCATTGTAAAGCTGATTTTCAGTTATAATTTAACAGTATGGTTTTACTGCAAATTTACTTTTGCATTAAATACATTGGCTTGCTGACATGCTGAAAAATGTGAATAAAACATTTGTCCCAAGAACATCTGTGTTAGTAAATTTACTTTTGCATTAAATACATTGGATTTTATAAATGTATAGAAGGATAGAAGAGAACAAATTGGTTTGTTTGGAGCTCTACTATGTCCAGCAATTATTACTAATACCCATAGCCCTCAGCTTGTTAAAAATGTTCCTTGCCTCATTGAAGTGAATAGCCAGTATCCTATTGACTTCTACAATGCCAGGAATTCATCTCTTATCATCAATAATCTGCCCCACTTTCTTTTATCTGAACTTTGCTTCCATGCTTTGCTTGTCATTCTTTTTAGTTTGCAGTGTGGTTGTAAATGTGTTCGTCCCAAACAGACAATGCAGGAGAGGTGATACTTTATACTGGACCAACTTCTTTTGGTGAAAGAAACAAACTTTTGGCTAATACAGAACTCTCCTTTTCACACTTCCCTACATTGTATAATCTACTGGACAAAGAACACCAATCACTGTAGCTTTTGTAAATTACCATTTGTGGCTGAGGGACTTCTTGATGCCAACTACTAGCAATGCATTAGAGTTACAGGAATCCCCTGGGTCTGGAGTTTACATTCTAATTCATTAAAAGAGCGACACAAAGTCTCTGATGAAAGCCTATACCATACTGGTCATCTTATTCATTGGGAGACGTATGTACGGGTGGTATTTAAGGATTTCTGTATGTATTTACAAAATGAACTTCCTAGAATAGTCCCACGAGACAGGAGGAAGAAATGTTTAGCTTTCTGGCCACATGAAAATGAAGTATTGTAAACTTTATGTTAGAGGCACATTTACACACTGAATCAAATGCTAATGGAGGGATGTGAAAACAACATGGAAAAAGTACACAGGAAAAAAATGAGCCGTGCAGAATGATATCCTGTTCACAAACTAAAACAACGGCTTGAGGGACTATATTTAGGTGGTACAGCGGAACCTCCAGTAATTACTTCAGTCTGGGAAGACAAGTTGCCAGCAGACTTGAACTCAAAAGACAGGTCTCTACTAAACTGGTTGAGAATGTGGAATAAGCTGTCTTGTAGAAAATAGGGTAATGCCTTATTAATTTAGTCTCTAGCAAGAATATGATGTTGTTTTATATGTAACCATTTGTTTCCAATATTCTCATTCTTGATCACCTGGATTTCCCTTCTTTGATAATAAATGTATCATTTTTCACTATACCTAAGTGTTGTTTGTTCAGTAAAGTGGTGATCCTAAGTGGAATCTGTACACAGTTCCTTTGGACTTAGCAGAACTAAGAGTTTGGTGAGTGCTCAGTGGACCAGGGATTGAGCACTCTAGAGGACACTTGGAGGACTGAAGGGTTGGGGTATGTCTAGCACTACCTCTGCAGACAGAGCAAGGCCTCAGAGGCCTAGGAAGCAATGCTTATGTTGCCAGAGCCTACTGATTTCAGGGTATGTCTACACTAGCCCCCTTAGTTCGATCTAGGGACGCTAATGAGGGAGACCGAAATTGCAAATGAAACATGGGATTTAAATATCCCGCGCTTCATTAGCATGTTCCCAGCCGGTCGCCAGTTTAGAAATTGACTAGCCTGAAATAACTGCCTGCATCTACACGCGGCGGTGAAACAGGATTCCGAATTAAAGCCCTAAATCGAATTAGCTGTTATTCCTCCTGCAATGAAGTTTATCAGCTAATTAGATTTAGGGCTTTAATTCGGAATCCTGTTTCACCGCCGCGTGTAGATGCAGGCAGTTATTTCAGGCTAGTCCATTTCTAAACTGGCGACCGGCTGGGAACATGCTAATGAAGCGCGGGATATTTAAATCCCATGTTTCATTTGCAATTTCGGTCTCCCTCATTAGCCTCCCTAGATCGAACCTAGGGGGCTAGTGTAGACATACCCTGAAAGTGCCTCTCTCTAAGGGTACATAGCAATGAGATGCTACATAACTTTGGGTGCCTCCAGGAAACATTGCCACAAGCACATTTTGTAATTCATTGTAAACTATTATGAATACTTCAAAGGCCTAGTATATTTGGCTATTAATAACAAAAATATATAAGTAGTTGTACGTGAATTGCCCTTAGACTTTTGTGAATGGAATGTTGTGCCATATTATCACTGGTACGATAATCTTTATGTCTGCAATAAGACCTCACCTGTGACCTACACTGCATGACATAAATTTTTCATGAGCATAATTGTCTTCATACTTGCTGAATAGAGGCAAATAAGGATGTAGATTGATGAATGTTTAAATAGGCACAAGGAAAAATTAACTGAATATAAATACATACATTTGTAAAATACTTCAGGGATTATGAGGTACTCAGGTGTTACTGCAATGGATGCCGTATAAAATAGGTTGATTCTGATTCACCTTTTTGATAGAGCCTATTAAAGTCAACAGTAACTAATCAGTGACTTCTCTTTGACTCTCCATCTGCTGTGCTTACCTTTAGGTAGAACAATCAGGAAGAAGGAATAAGAGTAGGTTGCATCAGTGGTACATGTAGAAGACCTTTAAACTATCTTTGTCACAATACATGATTTTAAAAGCAGGATGAAAAATTGGGATTTGTTTTTTCGAATGTCTTAGAAACTCTTTCCTTGAGAAATACCAGCAGGGTGACTTCTCCAAATATTAATACAATTGCAATATTGTAACTAGGTTTTTAAAAATGTATTAAGGTAATATCACCTGAAAAAGACTTGATACAAACAGGAAAACAGATTTAAGTTTCAGAAGTAGGAAAGTTTGGTGATATTTTAAAGAAAAGCAATAGAGGTAAATGTGAAAAGTAAATGTGAGTTTTAAATGGCACCATGTTACTCATCATACTATTTATGCTAATTATTCAAGAGATATGATTATAATGAGACATGAGTTCTGGAGCTCTGTGATTAGGAGAACCCAAGTAAATGACTTAATAGAAATAGAATTTTTATACGAACTGAACTCAATAAAATATTTTTTAAAAGGCACATCTCAGAACTGAATAGTTTCATCTCTAAAAAAAAGTCTTATATTTGATACATGAAAATAAAGTTTGTTTTAATAGAAATTAGAGTGTTCCCCTGAGACTGGCTGTTAAAAAAATACAGAGACACACGAAGGAAGAAAGAACAAAAGAAAAAAGAGAAATAAATATTTTTCATATTTATTTTGCAGGAAATATATTTGTTGTAAGCCTGGCCATTGCAGACTTGGTAGTGGCGATCTACCCATACCCGCTGGTCCTGACATCTGTTTTTCATAATGGATGGAATCTGGGCTACCTCCACTGCCAAATAAGCGGTTTTCTGATGGGCCTAAGTGTCATTGGATCAATATTCAACATTACAGGCATTGCTATCAATCGATATTGCTACATCTGCCACAGCCTCAAGTATGACAAGCTTTATAGTGACAAGAATTCTCTGTGCTACGTCATTCTCATCTGGATCCTGACGTTTGTTGCTATTGTTCCCAATCTGTTTGTTGGATCTCTACAATATGATCCACGGATTTACTCATGCACATTTGCACAATCTGTGAGCTCACCGTATACAATAGCAGTAGTGTTTTTCCATTTCATGCTTCCCATAGCCATAGTTACTTTCTGCTACTTGAGAATATGGATCCTTGTTATTCAGGTACGGCGAAGGGTTAAACCTGACAACAAGCCCAGGCTGAAACCACATGATTTTAGAAACTTTGTCACCATGTTTGTGGTGTTTGTACTGTTTGCAGTCTGCTGGGCTCCTTTGAACTTTATAGGCCTGGCTGTGGCTGTCGATCCAGACAAAATAATCCCCAGGATTCCAGAGTGGTTGTTTGTGTCCAGTTACTACATGGCATATTTCAACAGCTGCCTTAATGCTATCATATATGGACTCCTGAATCAGAATTTCAGAAGAGAATACAAAAGAATTATTGTCACCATTTGTACAGCTAAGGTTTTCTTTCAGGATAGTTCTAATGATGCAGCAGATAGGATGAAAACCAAACCGTCGCCACTCATTACGAACAACAATCAAGTGAAGGTGGACTCTGTGTGAAAATGGGACCCTTACCATTGCAACTCTGCAACAAACACCAGAACTGTTTTATTAGCCACACAGTTGAAGTGCTGTAGTGAAATGCTAGTCCTACATGAAAGGTACTTGGACAGTGTTCTATGTACAGTATTTGTGAGCCAAAGTAACACAGCCTTGACATGAAGAACCTCCTATCGTACAATAACATATCTTTCAAATAACCCACTTATATGCTTAAGGTATTACAGGGTAGCAGAAAGAATTTTAATGTTCTGTTTAATATAGATAATATGTGAAACTGGATTGGATCTGAACTGCCATATTAGCTTGACTGTTTGGAAAAGCCTCATCAATTCCCAGCTAGTACTCCTAAATGGTAAGGCATATTACGGTACTGATCCTGACACCCCTAAAAGCTTTCATTAAAAGAAAAATGGGACCTATTCATTCCAGTGTGAGGGAATATGAAAAGGGAAGGGAGAATACTTGAAATTCTTCACTAAGAATCTCAGTCTATATATTTATTTAAGTTTCTATGGTAGTTATAACTTTGTGACAAGTAAACCTCCCCACTTCTTTTAAGTAACTACACAGCCCTTGTTGAGTTCTCTTTAAAATGTTTTTTAAAGGAGAAATTTGCCTGTCCGAGTATCTCAAAAACTACAAGGGTACACAGAACCACTAGGGGCATGCTGGGGCAGGGTGGCAGGAGCACACATGGATTCATCAGGAGATTAAAGCACATCCAAGGAATGGGAACTCCAAACTTCCCTAATGTCCAAGAGAAATACAAATGGGAGAAGCCTGGAAACCACCCAAGAGGAGAGAATGGTGAGATACTCTCCAAAGATAGCAGAGAGAAATGCCTGTTGCTCCTCTGTGACAAGGGTGGTCTAGGGAATTGCCACGCACTAGACTTCTCCTCAGGAAACTAAATACACTAACGAGGGGCATCTGAGAGGAACGAGTTTGTATTAATCTTATCAAATTTACTTACTGCTTCCCAGAATGAGTGGGTGACCTGTTCTGACCCTTGGAAGTCCCTACAGCCCTGTCTAGAAAAGCTTTTAAAAATGTTGGCAATTATGAATGAGGTGTAATGAAAGTGTTATAAATGCCTAAAGAGATTAATAGACCAGAATATTAGAGAATCATAGAATCATAGAATAATAGGACTGGAAGGGACCTCAAGAGGTCATCGAGTCCAGCCCCCCGCCCTCAAGGCAGGACCAAGCTCCGTCTACACCATCCCTGACAGATGTCTATCTAACCTGTTCTTAAATATCTCCAGAGAGGGAGATTCCACCACCTCCCTTGGCAATTTATTCCAATATTTGACCACCCTGACAGTTAGGAATTTTTTCCTAATGTCCAATCTAAACCTCCCCTGCTGCACTTTAAGCCCATTACTCCTTGTCCTGTCCTCAGAAACCAAGAGGAACAAATTTTCTCCTTCCTCCTTGTGACACCCTTTTAGATATTTGAAAACCACTATCATGTCCCCCCTTAATCTTCTTTTTTCCAAACTAAACAAGCCCAGTTCATGAAGCCTGGCTTCATAGGTCATGTTCTCTAAACCTTTAATCATTCTTGTCGCTCTTCTCTGTACCCTTTCCAATTTCTCCACATCTTTCTTGAAATGTGGTGCCCAGAACTGGACACAGTACTCCAGCTGAGGCCTAACTAGTGCAGAGTAGAGCAGCAGAATGACTTCACGAGTTTTGCTTACAACACACCTGTTGATACAACCTAGAATCATATTTGCTTTTTTTGCAACAGCATCACACTGTTGACTCATATTCAACTTATGGTCCACTATGACCCCTAGATCTCTTTCCGCCATGCTCCTTCCTAGACAGTCGCTTCCCATCTTGTATGTATGGAACTGATTGTTGAGTTCCATACATACAAGAGAAGAGAAAAGAGAAGGCACCACCACCTTCTGATAGGACAGAGGAGTATATGGTTCCCAGTATTGGATCAGCAAGTTCTATGCACAGGCAAGAGATGAAGAGGATGGGGAAGGCCCTGGCCTTTATTTACAGTGAACTCCTTTGATGAAAACAAGTTTATTAGAATAAGTTTCAGCTGTTTCAGTTAATGGGCTGAGTTCCTTTCAAACTCTATGCAAGAACTGTTCTCTCACTAATCTCACCATCATTAAAAGGAATGACCCACCAAATTAGATCTATAAAGGTTGCAGCTATCATGGCTATCTAATTGTTAGCTATCTTATCCTGGCATATACTTTGAATTTAGTTCCCATGTGTCAGCCGACGGCCAGGGCAGTGAGTCCCTTATGAGCGGCTGAAGTTCTTTTAAATTGTGCTTGGTTCTGTTACAGCAACTGAAGGAGTCAGGTTAAAGCTTAAACAGTTACTATTTTATTGTTACAGGGTAAACTTAGTTGTTAAATGCTACTGCTGTGTTACAGATAACACAGACACTACAAAGGACAGGACAGAAATTACACTAATAAGTCACTTACAGGTACCATGAAACCCTTTGGTTCTCTGAGCTCTTATTAAATGCATGCAAAATAGACACCTAGCAGGTATATATTCTCACCCCTGCGTTCCAGACTTGGCGTGGCCAGCGTCTTTCTCTCAATCCCTCGGGAAGAAGTAGGGCGAGGTTGGGCGTCCCACAGACCTCGGGAGACAATCAATTCAAGTGGCCAATTAGGAAAAATGGCTTTGAATGCCAAGTTTCCCACGAAGGGTGCAAAGCATAATTCACACCTGGGAAAATGCAGACAATGGGCACCTCTGGTATGTGATGGGCGAAGATTCCTCTCTGGGACAGTGCAGGCGTGTCAATTACTGGTACTAGCCATCAGGGCGACGGGAGGCCCCGGGTCGTCAGCTAGCCCATTTACTGTCTGGTTTCTGTTTATGGTAGAAAACAAGATGGGGCTCGTGGAAAAACAAGATGGGGTTTTTGTGTCTGGCTACACCATGATAACTGATGCTTGAGCATTTCTAAAACTGTTCCAGCCATCTCTGTAGGACAAAGAGGGTTTGAATAGCTGATCAGAGCATTATTAGTATATGTTAACTATACAAAATATAGTGGAAAATATTTGATTTTCAACAGTTTAGATGTCTGAAAACATTAAATACTCACTGTAGTCTATATAATTCCTTAACTATAGACAACCTTAAAAGCCTCTTATCTCATGGGGCATTTATTATTGTACACTTGACAATAGAAATTGTGTGCTAAAGAGAACATATTCATACATACTTGAAACCACACTAACATTTTGGCAACTGAACAGTTTACCTTAAAAATGGGTGCTTCATGCTGTCCTTCACTCACTTAGGCTTATAATGAACCTAACTAACGGTCATAAAACACTTTCTAGATGAACATGCCAGTCAATGCATTATCAAGATGCTTGACTCATCTTTGTTTACATTCAAATCTGTGTTGGCAGTCAAAACCATTGTATAAATAACCTGTTCTCTTCTTTTGTGGTATCATCATATGATATTATATGATTAACAGTATAAATTATATTACAGCTTCTTTTTATGATTTCATCCTTAGAGGATGCTTAGCTGTGTAATGGCATTGCTTATTGTGTATAATTGTATCACAATTATGAGGGAGGCAAGAGCACCCTATGTTAGTCATATTAGAAATACACTATTTAAATTATTACAAAAAGTCTTGCCTTATTTAAAACAAATATTTTCACGTTAAAAAATACAATATTTTATAATGAATCTGGTAAAGCAGCATAAAGGTAGTTTCAGTAGCCTAATCATAAATGAATTTAGTACTGTCAAAGGTTTTTTTCACTTGCCTGTTTCATACTGAAAGCTTACATGTTCATCACTTCTACATGTGTATGAGCCTTGAAATATCCATTACTGTGGGTTATCTGAGGAATTAAAATATATTTTTGATTATAATAAAAACTAATTTGCTGTATATAATAAACCATAGATTATACCAAAGGTCTATATTTTGGTGAACAGGCCTGTAGTTAAAATTGAGAGCATTTTTCAGATCTGATCTTTTGAAATATTTGTATGAATTCTAAAACCACAGAAATTGTGTATGTTGGTAATGATATGAGCTGCTAAATATAGCAATAATTTTAAAGACTAATCTCTTGTTCTTTTTGCTGTATTGTTGGTTATAGGTATTTCTTTGCCCCCAATTAACATAGATGAGCAGCTGGCTGGAACTTTTAGGAAATTACTTCTTGACCACTTCAAATGTTTCCACTTATTTTTTTTTGACTATTTCATAGTATGCTCTTTAAAAAAGGTTTCCAAAATCACTCTGAACCAGCAGCACTTCCAAATGCAAAATGATTGCAAATGAAAACCAAAGTATTAATGTTTAGTTCCCTATAATGATTTATGACCTGATTCTGTGAGTGCTTCCAAGATGCTGAGCAGCCTCTGCTGGAAGTTTCTCAGCACCTCACAGAATTGGGCCCTCTATAATCAATAAATAATGCATAGAACCCATAGCATGCATCTGTAAGATAGAACTAAGCTATAGCAATTGTGGGTTTACCCAGTCTTGCAATTGAACTGTACAAATGGATGAACACTAAGGTTCCATCTACACTGTTTGTTTTTACGGAAGAGGAAATGCAAATGAAGTGCTCATTATTAAATCTCGTGCTGTCATTTGCATATTCTCTTCTGATCCTTTTTGGGGAAGAGGTTTTTGCGAAAAAAACCGCAGTGTACACAGGCCATTTTTCGGAAGAAACTCCTTTTGCGCAAGATCCTGTAAACCTCATTTTTTGAGGAATAAGGGATCTTGAGCAAAAGGGTTTTTTTCTGAAGAATGGCCCCATCTAAGCTGCAGGTTTTGTTCGCAATAACCTCTTCCTCAAAAAGGATCAAAAGAGAACATGCAAATGACAGTGCAAGATTTGCTAATGAGTGCTTCATCTGCATTGCCTCTTCTGCAAAAAACAAACAATGTAAACGGAGCCTAAGGTATTGAAATTCACACCCCTGTGTAGAAGAACAGCACAGAGCTGCTACACTATTTTATTCCAGTGAAGCTGATTTTGGAGACTTAAGTGATGCATAGGCCCTGTGACTAGGTATACATTTCACTCTTTAAGGCCCCAGTCCTGCAATTTGTCACATGTAGATAGAGCCTCCGTGAAGCCAATGGACCCCCTCAGGCATGAGCAGAGATTCAACCATCTGGAACACATTGTAGGATCAAGTGCTAAACCAATCTCAATTTATCTTATGAAAATTCCTTTTTACTGTATGATCCTGGATGTGCTAACAATCTGAGTTTGTCACTGTGGCTCACCACAGCCTGAATAGCACTATTGCAGTGTGGTACAGTAATTTTTTGGGGGGATGATTTTCATTGCAAGCTTTATATAACCCAAACGTATAGCACAATTTCCTTCTGACTAGCACAGAAAATAACACATCAATATTAGTTGATGATGATAATATTTAAACAGTGAATGTTTGCAGCAATGTACATTAATTTTGAATAGTTTACTTATAGTGTGCGTCACAATATTTCTCTCTCTCCCCTCTGCTACTAGTGGAATAACATGGGAAACTAGTATTATGTTATTTTATATGGACATGAGAGCAACAACAAACCTGTTATTTGGCTTTTCTTTATGTTATGTTTCAGAAGATTGTCATCTTTCAATGCTCCATAATAATTTATTCTACTGTAATCTGTGTAGCAACAAATACCCAGTCCTACCATGGCTACTCTGTACTGCACCTTTATATTGCTTTTTGAACTATTTTTCCAATGTTATTGTTGATTAGCTTCAAAAAGAATTATGACACAAAGGAATTCCTTGGTCCACTGAAACTGCACAGCAAATCCTTTTTAAGCACACTTTCAAAGTAGCTTGTTCCTAAACTAGTAGTGATACAAAATAAAAGATATTCCCTTTCCAATATGTGCACTTTCTTTCGGTTTATAATTAATAAATCCCAGCAGTTTAAAATAATTAAGTCTTGTTATGCTCTGTCATTTGCTGACTGAGGCTTTAGACTGGATATCTGCCAGCTAAGACAAATTTTCTTGCCAATTCAGTACCTTTAGAAAAAATA